TTATGTCAACTTTCCCATCTGGTCTACTTATTCATCCAAACATGTTTTCAGTCTCTTTATTTCAGCTGGTAGCAACCAAAGAAAGGCTCTCTGCAGATAAATACCTGAATATTTGAAATTAATTCAAATAATTAACATACTGGCAGGTTAAAATAAGCTGTAATAAATTTTATGATAGCTGACATGAATTTAGTTGTAATCTAATTGTTATTCCTTTGTGTGACACATAGAGAGACAGCAGCCAACAGATGTGACTAGGAATTTAATTGTAACCCAATGAGTTTTATTCTTATCTGATGGGAAGTCAATCATATGTAACAGTTTTTATGATATGGTAGAATACAAAAAAAGGCCAAAAGGCTTTATGCATACAGTTAATTTAAGTCCAAGTTTATTTATAACCCTGGTACATTTAGGTTAAATGTAATATTTTAAAAACTTTCTTTTAACTGGACAAAGTATTGACCTTTTGAAGTGGCCCAGCCAGAGTTCGAACTTGAATCTGATAAAGGACCAATGGGACTTGGCATGGAGGCTTTCCAACCGCAAAGATGTTGGGCTCTTCAACAAAGATAAATTGTCAAGATATCAAGTTGTTGATCACGTATCATCAATATTGTCTTCAACTTATCCAACATTGGGTTGCAGACTGAGAAAAGACCCGAGTGCATTTGATGCAGTTCTATAAAAAAGAAATGACAAAATGCAATTTAAGACCGTATTCAGTGATGGCATAGTTACGTTGAAAAAGTAACTTTAATCGGATTATTGGTTACTTCTTGAAAACGTAACTTTGTTAGATTGCTGACTACTTGATTTGTTTGTTTTTGTATGTTTCTATTGTCTGAAAAACTATAAATAGGATTTTTGACCCCCGCCCCCGTTCTGGTTGTGCGTTACGGCCCTGCGCAGCGCACAGAGCTCCCCCTGCCGCTCCACAACTCAGATGTCCCGCTGCACAGATTTTTGACACTTATATTAAGATTAATAATTATAATGATGTTTAGTTACACAACTTTATAGGACAAGTTCATTCATGGCTGTTTTCACGTTTATTGGGCTGTTCCTATTAGTTTCGATGTTTGCTATTTTCTGGAGCTCAACGCGAAGCTCGACGTCATTCAGAGGTAATATATTAACTTGACATTAACAAAGACACAGCGGGACAGATCACCCGTGAAATGATGGACAGAGAGACAAAAATGTCAGACAAATTGGGAGGTTTATGTCTGCTTATTAAACCCAAAAACCACAAACCGCGACTCCTTAAATCTACAAGTGACTTAAAAAAAACAACCCCAAAGTCGCTTATAATAATCAGATTTGGCGAGCGTAACTCAAAGTAGTTCCTGTTTTTCCAGCATAAAAATGCATCTCCCTCAACCCTCCATTATTTATGTTTCTGTCGCCGCTTATACTGAACCATAGACAATCCCCAAGGCGTGCAGAGGAAGGAAAATTTAATTACAAAAGAAAACTGTAATGCACAGTAACACAAAGTAATTTTAATAAGTAATAGTAGTCTCACTACTGAATTTGAAATAGCAACATGTTAGATTACTCGTTACTGAAAAAAGTGGTCTGATGTCACTGACAACACTGACCATATTTAAAATGTTTACAGGTATGGCAAAGAGGCTTTTTGTGACCTCCTACTTTATACCTCCCAGAAACCATGTAAATAGTTGAAACTTCTTAAACACATAAAAAGAAAGTGACAGAACAAAGTTTCTTTTTTTTTTTTTGTCAAAACTTTTTAGAAATTTAAACCTAAAGTACAGTCTTTGAGCTTCTCCTTCTCAGTGACAGGTGCAGCCATTTATTCAGGAACATCCTGTCACAAACACAGGAATCAATATAATTATCAGCTCTGTGTGCAAAGCTGCATCCACACCTCGTGTGTGAATAAACCAGCACTTTTCTTGGTGTTTGCTTCAGACTTCACTAAGAGACGAAACAAATAAAAAGAAATAAAAAAAAAAAGTTCACATACATTAGTAGAGTAGAAAAGGTTAGATCAATGTCTGCCTTGATGTGCACCAAGCTGTTGGGCACAACTTCCCTCCTGACTGCTCAGCCATTGCTGGAAAATATTCATGAATTAGTCACACTATATTAGGCTGTCACTGGCTTGGGTGATTAATGATTTCAGCACATGTGGATGAGCCACTGACCGACAGCAGTCCGCTAACCAACCAATTGACTGCAAGAACTCTGCAAAGGAACGTGGCTGCTGGAAGAGGATCTAAACTCAAATAGGTGTCAGCTTAAATACCCATAGACTCTGACCTACCTGGCTCAAATATAAACACATAAACACAGACATGCACATCCAAACACAGCTACACTGTTATTAGCTGCAGTTTCTGTTGAATGATCACATGACCAGAGTATAATCAAAGCTGCCTGCCATTTCCTGGACCGTCTCCGGCTTTCTACTGATGATTCCAGGATTGTTACCTTCCCCACATTTCCTGACTCGAGTCTTTTCACCTCTGCACACAAATGCCAAAAGGCATCCTCTCTGTTTTCATTTCCGACTTCCCATGGTTTCTCTTATCTACCTCTAATCTTCCTTCATTTTGCCTCTTTTTATTTCATTTCCTTCCCGGTCCACTTCAAGCTTATTGCCACAAAATCAGAAGCTACTCACAGCACCAAACACCTAACCAATGAAATGAGCACTATCGTGTTTATATACAGACCTGAAACTCAGAGGGTGCCTAAAAGGTTCATTTGTTGTCAGAGACTTTTCAGGTGCTGTATTAAGCAGCTCTCTGAGGCAATAAATGCCTTTGTAAAAAAAAAAAAGGTACTGATGTACAGATATAGTGCATGGAAGGTTATATGAGTGGGTGGCATGACATTTAATTTATTTTATTGTACATTCCAGGTAGGATTGGGCAATGTTGCTTGCCAAAAAAATGATATCACGATATCATTTTTAAAAACCCCAATAACGATATCTCATACGATTTGCCATATTTTCAGCTTTTTCTTTAATAAAGTCACTGCATTATAAATATTTATATTTAGAATTTAACCAAATATGGTGTAAAAACAATATTTTGAAAAAAGAACTGGTGGTGTTAGAAGAGGTACTGTATTTTCCAGACTATAAGTCGCAGTTTTTTTCATAGTTTGGCTGGGGGTGCGACTTATACTCCGGAGTGACTTATATGTGGAAATCAACACATCGTTATATCATATTACATGTTTTTTTTCAAACTAAACTGCAAGAGGGCGCTCTAGGCCTGTGTTATTCTACCCGTCGGAGTTAGCAGAGTTGTTTGCAAGCAACATTGAGGATGAAGATTTCATTCAATTTAGTGATTTGGAGTGACACGGATGGTTTGGGAAACTTGTTAACATGTCATTTATGCTACATTTATCTGAATAGCTCTTAATATGTTATGCACGTTCTCGGCTCGTTGTTTGTCACGTAACATTAGCATACTGTACAATTACTCACCCTGTTGTGCCTCTATTCTATTTTTATTGCCTTTCAAGATGACATGTCTGTTCGTGGTATTGGATTTTAGCAATAAATTTTTCCCAAAAATGCGACTTATACTTCGGTGCAACTTATAGTTCAGAAAATACGGTACTTTTGCTCAAGAAAAATACATTGATCTCAGCAGACTAAGATAGTCAAAATACACACAGAACAATTTTTGCTCTTTTTTAGTTTCCGAAAGAAGGACACTGAACAGCCAACATTTTGTATGAGGCTTTCAGCTGATATTGTGAAATTACAGCCCTGTCATACTCTGTTGTATCAGAACTTTTGTTTTAATTGTGTTGGAAGACATGGTGTTTGTACAATGACATACCATACTGTATATATATATATGTATATATATATATATATATTTATATATAAATATACATTTTCAACAAAAGTCTTTCTTAATTCCTAACTTCATTTGTAGTTTGTGACAGGATCATACTTTTATACATTTTCACTATGGAAAATACCCAAGCAATATTGTATTGTACAAAAACCTTTTGGTTTTGTATGCAAATTTTAGTATTTTTTTGCAGCTTGGTGACAAATGGCCTCACAAAAGGTAGTCAGATGGTTACAACCCACAACCCAGCTCCAAGCCAGTGCTAAATCCTACACACTGTTCTATCAAGGGACCAAACAGTTTTTTTTAATGAAGTAAAGACCAGAAGACATTAAAGGAGGGAGTTAAAAGGCAGAAGAACTGAGTGTGGAGATAGACAGGGTGGGTGTCTCAGAGTAGCTTATTGCCACCTCTGGGCTGTCTGACACATGGCTGATATCTCAAACCTATTTCTTTTCTTCAAAGCCTTCTACTGATTAAAAAAAGGGGCTAGCTGGTGCCACAGGGTCACAGTGTCTTTGTCAAGGGAGTTGTAATTACTGAGGCTGGACCTCAAGAGGGTGGGAACAAACCCAAATTTAATCTTCCTCTCTGTTTACAAAAATAACTTTCATTGGGGAGATTTACAACCTTAAAGGTCATTTAGTTAAATATCTTTAGAATCTGAGAAGGGCCTCTGACAAGAAGGCAGTCAGATCACTGCTGGTTACAGCTGCATCCTCCTTTGTCTTAAAGATTATTGGTTTTCTGTCGCAGAATATGAGAGCGTGTGCGGACACATTTGAAGATAGATCAACCTGACACAGCTAAATGTGTTTGTCCTAATTTTAAAAATGACAATACAGCTGGAGCGGGGAAGTGATTCTGCAGTAAATGTAATTTTAAGTGGGCGGACTGCTGTGAGGAAGTTGTGCGCTGTGGCCGTGTGGAGTGCAGCAGCTGCTTCAGAAGAAAGCGTGCCACAGCTCTGTGTTTGTCAGCGAGCATGCGAGAAGCCTGTGTGTGCTAACATGTGTTAAGGTAGCAGACATTAGACAAAGAAAGTGTTTGTCCTTTGTTGGCAGCTGCAGGGGAGGAGGCTTTGTGAACCTTCTCTGCAGGTGTGCATGTTTATGTATTTTGTCAGGAAGGTGTGAATGTTGCACTCACAGTCGGCCTGGGCACAGATGAGGCAGGAGGCGGTGCTGTTAAAGAATGTAAGAAGGCCGGCCACGGCCAAGCTGATGTCGGTGTTCGTTGGTCTCAAGTCCAGAGTTGTGAAGCGGGGAAACTGCACCTTCAGGATGTCCTCTGGAGCCACTTTGACATATGGTACCTGCACGGAGAAGTTGTTGTTATTTTGCTGTAATTAAGCTATCCAGTGCTGAGAGCTGTATTCTCACCTCTAGCACACATGTTGATAAAAGAAAAGAAAAAAAAAATATCTAAAGAAGTATCACAAACAAAATGCAGGGTAAAAATAGTCAGCAAGTTGCCGGGTGATGATCAAAAGAATGAATAGCTCAGAAGAAAGATGTTACAGCAAATAGGATAAACGCTGCAAGCAACAATAACCCCAGGGGTCTGTGGTAGTGTGCAAATTCACAATACAGACATTTTTTAAGTTACCAAAGCATAACTTCAAAACAAGACCAAATGAAGAAACTTATTTTTATTCTCAAATCCAGACAGGATCTTTGACAACAAATCTTTAGTTAAAAAAAGAAAACTCTCCTTCACAAGAGTAAAATAAAACCTTGCGATCTGCTTTTATTAACAATTTAGTAAGACATTCACGCAATTTAGCCAAATAGTTTGAAAAAAAAAAAGAATTGGTGATTCTAAAGGAGGAGAGTTTTCTTAAGGAAAATACAGAGACCTCAATAGACAAATAGTAAAAAAAAAAAATCTATCATCTCTTACAACATGCATCAACAGTCTTCAATCAGAAGCCTTTCTAGACTGACCACCATCAGAGATCTTTCCTACCTAGAGCATCACCATCAAACAGCAGATCCTTGTAGATTCTTAAAGGGGGCCTGATATTCAAAATTCTCTTTTTTTATGTTTTTGCATTTCCACTCACTTCTAGAAACAGGCCAAGTGCTAAAAATTAACATTTAGAAAAACTATTGGACAATTGTGCATATGTTTGCAGACTTTTTTTCAATATAAAGTTAGAGTTGGTGGGTGTGGCCATCTGCAGCTTACTTCCAAAATAGTGACGTAGCCCTAAATCAGCTAATTCTGGAAGGAGCTTAAATAGGCAGAACTGACCAGGTGAAATGTCATGTTGTTTATCTGTGAATGATTTTGTGTAATAAATGTAATGGAAATGTTCTATAAATATTCTAACTTGTTCAAAGAAATTATGACAAGTTACTTTAAATAATTTGAGTTACATTTATTTTCCTCATTCTACTGACTTGTAAATAATTAAGTGCAAACAAGTGAAATATGTTGTTTCTGTCCCAGAACCTAATTATTTTTTAGAAGAAAGAGATAGAACTTTGTTTAATTTTATAAGAGATATCAAATTTTTATGACTGAAGGAAAAAAAAAAACATTTTGTAGATCTATATGGCTATTAAAGAAGAAATCAGCAGGTCTGAGCTGTACAAAATCTGTGATTTGAAATTGTCCAAATCTTTGACTGGTGCATGCATTGGTGTAATTTACTAAACTGTAACAATACAAAGAAAAACAAATTACATACATGTAAAATGTCAACAGAGGCAAAAGATTTATTTTTCTTTTTATAATCTCTATGCAAGTGGAACATTGTTGAAAGAGAGTATATAATGTGTACGGCATTGCATGCGTTTCCCCAGACATCAGGAAAAAGATGAAGCACAGTGAGAACAAATATAGGCCACTGAAGCTTTGATTAAAAATCAATAAATACATAATTATTCTATCTAAATCCCACTGGGAGGTAAACAATCTTCAGTACAACGGTCTGAAGCCTTTTCAATTAGGTTATTTTAGAAAGTTGTGTTCCTCGGTTGCCTTTAATAAATTTATCATACAACTCCCACAGCACAAACAGGCATGTTTAACACCATTCATCTCCCTTGTGAAAACAGAGGTTAAGCACACAACAGTTAACCTTGCAGCCTTAAGCTTTCACAGAATGAGCACAGAAACAAAGCCCTGGATTTCAGCAGCTACCTACAGATGCTGCTGAAATCCAAACACTTTTTCAATTTATTTCCCTTAGATAACATCCGTCTCTGCATTAGTAAGATGCCTCTTCAAGCAACATAAAAAAAAGAGTTGCTGACAGTAGGGTGCTTTTATTGGGGCATGTGAGGAAACATAGGACAAGGAAGAGTGGACCATGTGACTTTTAAACCCCTGCCCATCAGGACGTAATGGAGTCTCTGGGTGTGTGGAGGGATGGAGGAGCAGCCAGCTCTGACAGCCATTCGTTCTTCCAAAGGAGTCTTAAAATTGTGGTAATAACTACACACCACACAGGGGAAATGAGACCCTTTTCAGTTGTGTCCTTATATTCCCTGTTGCATTTCTACAATTTCTCACCATCTCTTGTTCATTTCGTTTCGTTAATACCCTACACTGTTTACTCTTCTTGTCTCCTTTCCAATGCACTCTTCTCTTCCTTCTCAGCACCGCAGACTGCGGTGCAACACACCTCCTTCCTACTCACAAACCAGACACACTTTGGTGGGCTTTCATCGGTGGGGGTTTAGAAGGCTACCGACACAAACTCCGAGATTCACTTATAAACACAGACAGACACATATAGCCGGTCCTCTTCCATCAGTGCGGTGCTCTGGACCCTTCTGCAAAATACAGCAATATCTCAGGGAAACTACTCGGCTCCAAGTCAAAATTCCTCATCAAACTCCACAGCATGCAGCTGTGACTCATGGAGAAAATACCCGATATAACATCCTAATCTTTTCCCTCTGTTATAGTTTCTGTGAATGTTTCAATTATGCTTCTTTGTTTTTGTGAAAAATCACCAAATTATCAGAAAATCAAAAGGAAAATATGTATATGTATAAACAGACTGCTACCAACTATTTAGAAGGGCCTCCATCTCCAATCCTCGGAAAGAAAGGTTTGGCAAGTTTCCAATGTGAACGTGCTTCCACATTAACCCAAAATGTGATTAGCCAATCTCAGAGCAGCAACACTGTCCATTTAGCCTTCTCGGCAAAACCCCTTATTCAAAGTGAGTACCAGAATGGGACAGACAGGATTTAAATGACTTTGAAAGGGACATTGGTGAAAGTCGGACCAACTGGCTTGTGTATCTATGTCAGGAACAGCTGATCTACCACGATGTGGCAGACAGAGAACAGTCAAAAAAAGATAGTCGATGCATAGTGACAGTTGTGTAAATGAAAAGGTTTACGTTGAAGTAGAATTGGAAGAATTGTGAAAGGGCCGCAGTAGCTTAAACAACTACTCTTATAACAAACGTAGACAATATCATCTCTGAACACATAACACCACCTTGAAGCAGACACCAGCAGCTATAAGCATGAGACAGAAAACAGATTGTGCTGAGCACAAGTTAACACTGGATTTCTGCTATGTAATGAATGTAACTGATATGAGCTGAGATGCAAATTAATTTAATGTAGATGTGTTGCTGGCATCAAAATCCAAATGTGAAGAATTGCAAAAGAAAAACTATAAATTATAAGATTATATATGTGTTCTTTGTAGTGAAATCAATTGAATATAGGTCGAAAAAGATTTGCAAATCATTGTATTTTGTTTTCGTTTATGTTTTACACAACATCTCATCTTCACTGGAAATGGGGTTGTCCAATTTATTGGCTTATGTTTTTGTCAAGGTTGTTCTGAAAAAAATGTTAAAAATAGAATAAAGAGTCAAAAATCTGAAAGTGTGTTTTAGATTACCTCTTTTCTGTTCAGAGTAAGCCATTTCAGGTTTAGTCTGTAAAGAGTACTTGAGTTTGAAGAAGGTCATTGACTCCAAACTCTTTGAAAAATAGTAAAATATCTTTTTAGTACAATTTTCCTTTGGGACATCAACAAGCCATGGTGCACAGTCAGATGCTCCTCCAATACTAATACTGCGAATAGCACAGGGAGGGCACCCAACACCAAATGAGAGGACAAGGGATTAAGTAAAGAGATGATTAAACCTTCAGATTTTTTTGTTTGTTGGTTTGTTTGATTCTGTAGCATTTGTGTCACCTGTTAACTCGCACTAAAACTCACATCTACTGCAGGGCTTGATGACATGCTGGGAGTGTAAATTGCCCATTTCAACCAGTGATGAGCTGGAGATGCTTTTAAACTGGAGTTAAGAACCATGTATTTAACACTACTGAAGTTCATCTATATTTAGCAAGAGGGCTGTAGACTGGAAGTAGTTTAAAACACGCACGACAAGATTTTATCTATATATCACTGCCAAACACAATTCTCTTGTCTGCAACACACATGATTAATTGGTTCTTGTACAGTGGCAGTCACTATCTACTCAATGCAACAATGTTCAGCATGAACACTATAAAGAATCCACTCAGAGCAAAAACATCAATCTCCAAAGCAATAACAGCAAGTCAGCAGCGACATCAGACTCATTTTGCTCAACTTCTTATCAGAAACCAGCAGCTAGAATCAATCTCTCCGATGACAGATTAAACAAGAAAATAAGACGACAGTAAAATCTCCTTCTACATGCGTCTTTGCAGCTCCATGGATTTCAGTTCAGCTATCCCACTCAACAATATCCTCAAGTAACACTTTGAATATGCCACCAAATAGATGGGACCTGGTAGTTTGTCACCAACAATCCCACAAACATCACATTAAAGAGCAATGGAGGAATATGCTCTTTGTTCGTTTTTTTATGGCATGCCATGTCAGTATCACTAAAAAGAGTTTTCTGTTTTGCTGGTAAAATCTTTTGACTTTACCTCATTTGAAAATAAGAGTTAGGTTTCCAGATACTTCATATTTTCTTGTTTTTCCTTCATTCCAAAAATTATCCCAAGATCCTCAATCTTTTTCTGTCTGTTCTCTGGCTTATACCAATATTCCCACACATCTCTTTTGCCATAATTTATTTTGCTTAAATTATTGCACAAGCAGTTAAGCATTTACTAAAGTTGCTTAAACATATTTAGACAGAATAGAAGATTATTCAAATTTGTGTAAGCAAGCCAATGAAACAAGTGTAGTAAACAAGGCATTAAAAGTAGACAGACTGCTCTGTTAAAGCCTCTGCTTAGGGCTTTGACACTAATGGTGTGAAACTAATTATATTGGAAAATTATGAGCGGGGGAAAAAAATCTCTTGCAACAATACAGCCCAAGGTAAATGCT